GGCCCTGATGGATTTCTGTAATTGGTGGAAGGTTTTGATTGAAGCCGGCTCCAGTTTATAATACCACCTGACAGCCAATTGTCCCAAACTGCTGGAAAATATTCGGCACATGAGTGCCTCGTCGTCTGCATGCAATGTCATGGCTTGCTTGTAGTGGCGAATGTGGTCAGTGGGGTCTGATTTGCCGTCGTACAAGGTGAGTGACGGTGCTTTGAATTTCTTGGGTAGTACTGCCTTTGCAATCCGTCGTACGAAATGGGTCGTGTTGATCTTCGTCCGAACTGTTCCTTCTTTGCTTGTGCCTTATACGGGGACTTTCTTCAGAAGAACTGGTAGTTTTAGGTCACCCCTTCTTCCTGGGTTTCGGGGATAACGAATCGGAGTCGCTATCAGTGTCGTCCTGTCGGGCTCGAGGTCGTCGACCACCTGCCTTCGGAGATCGTTCCGGATTTAGGCGTATAACTTGTTTGGACTTTGCCACTTTCAAGGCCAAATCTTCACGAAGATTCTCCAACCTTTGTTCGTTTTGCTTTGCCTGGTCCATGATCGCTTGCATTGCTTCATGTTCTGGAGTCGAGGGTGAGGCGAAGTTCAGAGCACGTCTTACGGGGATGGTGTTCGGTCCAAGCCTGTTTGGTGGAGTGAGGTCGTCTCTGTGCATGGTTTCATCAGTAACTATTGGAGGGTCCTCCGTCACGCCCGCCATGGATATGCTTGAGTATTCCCACAAACGGCGCCAATTGTGGAGGAGTGATTTGGAAATACTCTTCTGATCCTGGGGGACGCTCGTGATCCGCTGATAATCACCTGAAAAGGAATAAACACTCCTGTCGGGGGTGCCGGAATTAGCATTCCGACGGACAAGTCAGTCTCAACACTCCAGATTACTTATATTCTAAATTAAGCACAACAATTCTCAACTGCCTCTCTCTGATGGATGATCCCATATTTATAGTATTTTCTTTGGGCTAGGCCCATCCTTGTTCCGTCACATGTACCTCTACTCGGCGTCAGTTCTATTGGCTGGGATACTGGTTATTTTATTCGGCTCCTGAACTGGCTGGGGTATATGCCGAATACAGGTTACGTTTCGGACCGGACACACTCATCCGTCCCTATGGATCTAATATAATTCAGCTCCCACAACTTCAGAATGCAGTTTCAAATAAATCATAGAAAAGACAACGACTTATTTCAAATGAATCATAGTTGTTATGTCACCTATTAAATCTGACCTAACAATATCAAGCTAACACTCCCTCATGTGTGACCTTGTCTCACACATGGAGAGATAAACAGACCAAAAGACAAGATGCACGATGACAGACAGATCAAAGTACTTCCTAAAACCAAAACTTACCATATTAAATGTCCCAAAACTTAAACTGTCATAAAATAGGCCCAAAAATATACAGCAAGCTAATATCAATCATAGAAAAGAAAACCAGACAGAACCTTGGAACGTCTCAATCTTGTGGCTGCCACCTCCACTTCATGCACTCTTTATCCAATCTGTCATTACCTTCACAATTAACAAAAATCAATGGTTAACTAGGTTTTCCCTCGTAGAAGCTTTTTGTGCAAAGACGGAATTTTTATACATTTACACTCTGTTTCAATTGATGTAAAATAATCTACTTTGTAAAATCTTTTTATTGTAAAACAATTGTTATCCCCCTATTCCTTAGTTTTTGGTGCATGCATTTTAAGAACATGTATTTAGTCATAGTATTTCACTAGACAGTTGTGGCATTCAGAGAAGGATCTAAAAATCAAAACAGAACAGAAATAATTAACATTTTAGCAGTAAGAGGAGGCAAGTCTGGGTTGCAGAGACTAGGATTAATCTTATCTAGGAGGGTGGTATCCAATTTGAACTCTAGAAAATGACAGAAACTAAATAGATCAAAGTATATATAGATAGACAGACAAATAGATAGGCTGAAAAGTATATCCAAATAGGAATGAGGTCCATCTGGAAGCATAGGAATGAGGTGGTTTTTCAGGGCTCTCAACCTGATCTGTATGGTTTGTGTGATAAAATTAAAACCAGAGTGCCATTGTGGGTGAGGACTTCATCCCCTGGAGCACCTTTTTCTGTGAATGGTTGTCTTTAACCTACAGATCGACCTATTTTACCTACGGATTGACCTAATTTTTTTTTTTTTGTAGATGATATATATAATAAATTAAACAAAGTTCACGGTTCAAAACATCAAAATAGAACCTATGGTGGATTCCATAGGTCCGGACAGCATCATCCAGTCCAGATTATAAACTGGAGGGAAGCCCAGGCCATATTGCATAAGATTCTATTGAGGGGTCTATTCCTTTATGAATGAACCATTTTACATTTGGTTTATGTCTAATTCCTCAAAACACACACACGCACATATAATCATTGGATTAGTTGACATTGTGTGCAAAAATTAAATGACAAAATTGATTCAACTAAATCTGCAGGGATCAAATTACAGCAGTACTACATCCATACAAAATCTTCCCCCCAAACACCCCAATGACATGGCAAGGTTGGTTGGAAAGTTTTGAGAGAAGAGACGAGTGTAGGAGTGTGGATCATTAATTTGTCATCTTCTTGCCACGTCATTCAGGAGAGTTTGTGGAGGAGATTGTGTGGATGAAACATTTTTCATCAAATTGTGACAGAACATAAGAGATGAATTCCCTACTAATTTTTATTGTATTTTAATTTTGTTTAACAGATATTAAGCAAGGGAAAGTACAAGGCTGTGTTTCATAGATCGACAGTGAACAAGGACACAAAAAGAATGTCATGGCCAGTGTTTTTGGAGCCACCAGAAGAGCTTGAAGTTGGTCCCCATCCAAAGCTTGTTAACGATGATGATAACCCACCCAAATTTAAGACCAAGAAGTACAAGGATTATGTCCACTGTAAGCTCAACAAGCTGCCCCAGTAAAAACAAAAGCTACCATTTGAGCTTTGCAATGTCATGTTTTGCTTATGAGGTGTATCATTAACAGTACTAATGCGTATGTGTGTTTTACTCCTACTTGTATGCAATGTCTTGGATGCCAAATAATTTTACGATGTAATCGTTATTATTTTATCATATTTTACTTATCGTTTTATTAATATATCATGATTACATTGATTTAATGGGTCATGCATTTTTTTTTTATTGTCAATAATACAGTGATAACATTTTTATTTTTTGTTTTTTATAATCCATGGATAATCACATTGTTCATGTGCAAATGTTGCATTTATTTTGTGTTTTAGAGGCGAATTTAATGAATGGTTCTAGCTAGGAGGTACCAAGCCATGGGTTTTAGTTTAGCCCCAAATTGAATTGACCAAAAGAAAAAAATAAAAAAATACCCATTGTTGGTAGTATATGCTAATTTCCCGAATATTAAAAAATAATAATTAAAAATAAATGTTTGTAATTTAGGGAGACTTTTTAAATTGTGAACTTTGTAATTTCAACTAAAATTTGTAAAGTTTCAATTGATTAAGTCTCTTCATAATTATAGTAGAGACAAATGAAATGACGCTTTATACAAGTTATTCTTAAATATTAATTCACCATGTTCAATAATATTCTCATATCAATAAGAGTAAGACCAGTTATAAATGTTTACTAGTTATGGATACAACAAAAGTTTATTAGCTCAAGTCCTCCAATTCTTTGGAGGCTGAATGATGACCAAACTACCCCTGCCCTTCCCAAGACTAACAAGCAAAAAAATGGCAGTAACATACATGGAATTATCCCCATGGGGTAAATTTTAAGGATCACTTTTCTAATTGATGGGTCTTGGAGATCGACTGCCCAAGATGCAGGTATAGCATGGATTTGCTTGGACGACAACAACCAGCAAGTGGCTCAACATGCATCAGCAGCTCATTCACTACCTTCTCCATTGGTGGCTGATGCTAAGGCTTGTTTGGAAGCTATTGGGTGGGCAACAGGCAAGGGTCTTAGGAAGTTTTGGTAAAAATGCTTCAATAAAAATCCATATTTGATTGGAGTTAAACCTATTATTGATGATATCAAATACTTAAGAAATTTTTTTGTTATCTTAGTATAGGAAGGAATGTAATTAAACCAGTCCATGCACTGACAACTGATAATTAGTTTGTATGGTTAATATTATGCAATTCTTAGTCCTCATAAAAAAAAGATCTCCTTTCTTTAATATTCACTGGTAATTCAACTATCTAGCAAAATGATATTAAGTTAATTAGAATATGCAAGATTAGGGCATTTAATCTAGTAATTGTGTAACACCTTTTGTTGTGTGAAGTCTCGAATTCAACTCCTATGAAGCAGAATTTGATACGTTTTGTACTATTGTGAGCTAATAGTCTGTGTAATGATATAAATATTTCTCCATATAGTAAGGCCCCGTTTAAGAATTGATATTTTAACTTTTTACAAAAAGATGTATCAAAAAATAAAGAGAATGATGTCACAACAAATAGTAACTTCTAAAGTTTTTAACTATAAATCTCACTCCCCTAACATAGCCTAAATTTATAGTGTACACCTTAGAATTAGGGACAACAATGTTATTGCCCTTTGTGATTTTTATTATGACACTTTGTGACTTTTATTATGATATTTTATTTATAGAGTTGTATATCCAAAATAGATATATGAAACAATATACAAAAGTAAATATAAGGATAAAATACAAAACGAACAAATCCAGTCACACAACACAAAATTCAATCACAACATAATCCTCTTTCTCCTTTACTCAAAGCCCTTCATAACAATTTGATTTACCTATCTCTCTCTCTCTTTCTCTCTCTCTCTCTCTCATCGACTCTGCTTCTTTCTTCTTCCATCCCCTCATCTACGTTCTCTTCTGTCAGTCAATTTAGTGCAACCGAAGAGTGAGGTGAAGAAAGAGAATAAAAGTGAAAGACAACCCAGAATTACAAAGACAATGGTGTAGAAATGATATGCATCTACAATAATGAAAAGCATTCAATGTTTCCACCTCTGTAATACCAAAGAAATATTTTTTATTTGAAAGAAACAGTTGAATAATCTGTGTTCAAGCAAGAAAATTAATGCAACCAACATATTTCATGAATCACAACCAAAATTTATTGCTTTGAACCCATGAAGCTTCAAATCCACAAACACACATCAAAGCATAGTGTCTTAAACCTATTGTATGCAAACAAACAGTTCGTAATTGAAATGTTCTCCTACTTCACTTGTGTAATTGATGATTTTTATGCCAAGTTAGTTGTTGCTGCTGTTAGAAAAACATTTTTACTCATTAGATGACTTCTAGAAAAAACAAATGGAAAGAATTTAAAACGATTTCAAAATAAGATTGGATACCTTGTTCCACGATGCAGAATTCTTACATGATCGAGCTCCTCAGCCATGTAACCGCTGAGGTTGGACTCGTTCGGAAAGTTAACTTCAAAATATAAAGGAAAAAAAAAAAAAAATTCAATTCCAAATTTGAAGTTACAAAAATAAATAAATGTGAAAAAAAGAGAGTAAATGAAATAAAGCAAACTACTAATAGACAAAGTGAAAAAAAGAGTAGGTTAAAACTTGGGTAATAGAACATTTTTGTAATTTAAGATAATTAAGGATGAGAATTTGAAGGCCTGGGAGCCTCCACCACATTTGCATAGTATATAAGATGCAGTTAACCAAACTATAGCTACTGTTCAAACAAAAGTAATTCTGGGCTTTCATTTTAGAGAGGACATGAATACATTGTACGAAACAAATGTGATAGTGAAAAAATTTCTAAAATGGTTACTATTCAGCATTGAAGTGATACTAGACAAACTTCAGCAGGTTGGAGCAGAGAGGATCGCTGGAATGCCAAATCATACAATAAAACAGTGCAAAGGATCTCATATATGCGAAAACTGACCTTCCCATAGTTGGCAACCTTATCAAGCCTAGCTGAAGAAAGAATCAAAGTAATGGACTCGGACACACTAATCATAGCCCATGACCCAATCAGGTACTGAGTATATCAGAGTTCCCAAGCTGAACGACAGTGCAATAGTGATCACGGCATACACTTCTGCTCTCCAGGGGTGGTTGCTCTGACTCATTGCGTGAAACTCAGCCATGAAAGTGGAAACGGTGCTTAAACAACCCATCAGTCCAAACTGTATGCCAGTTGCAACAGTATGACAGGTAGTTGTATTCACCTGAATTAAACAAATCGTAACTTCCTTAAGATTCCCAAAATCTCATTCATATGTGCAAGTAACAAAGTATGCATTGGTCAGAGTTAAAGTGTAGAAATAGAGTACGAATCAAGCAATAATAATGGGAACGATCACATGCATATATTATTTAGATTTCTAAAATGTGAGAATTTCTTTATCCTGTTCAAATGCAAAGGGCAGAGGTGATCTCCTTAATATTGTCTACATTAAACATGTATACTTGTATATGAATATTACCGCTTTCTTTACTATAGCAAGTGCTGCCATGACACAAGCTGCAGAAACATTGGCAATTAGAGTCCCAATAGGAAGCCATTTCCACAAGCCTGCTTTTCCCAGGCCACGGCCATTAAGCCGGGCTAAGAACCACCTGATCCACACACCGAAAGGTCCAACAATGCAAGCTAACCATAGCTGTGCTTCACTGCTGCCACTGTGAAAATCTCTCTTCTCCAAAGCTGCACTTATCCCCCATAACAAGCCTAGCATCAATAGCAGCACCACCAAAACTGCTACTTGACGCTTGCAATAGTCTGCCTTCCAATTGCTTTTAGAGTTAGGAAGGTCACTTACTGGAAATAAGTTTGACATTTCCAGAATCCATTTTAGGCCCTGAGCTGTCCTTATTCCAAATTTGATTGAATAATCAGCAAGAATCATGCCTGCAAACCAAAGTGAAAATTGCTCACCTTAGATTAGGCACAAAGGGGGGCAAGTCTGTTAAATTCTAAATAAGCCTGAAAAGAACACCAGCACGATGAGAATAAAATTCAAATGTCTTTCTTCTCACGTGCTCTTACTTATATGCTCATGTGAAATATTACATTACCTACGAGAAACCCAAGTACAACAAAACCCCATTTTCCTTGAACACTCAGGTCAAGCATTTTCTGATTCCAACCACTGAAAGTTGTAAGGCTTCCCAAGTAACCAGTTGTCAGTCCAATGGCTAGATGGTCTGAAACTCTGGATATATCTCCTTTGAAAACAACACCGAACCACCCCATTAAGAACGAGCCAACCTTAGATAATGAAATAAAATTTGTATTAGGCACAAAAACCAGATTCAAGTACCTGATCAGACTAAAATGTAGAAAGTCATACGTTGCAAATTGAACTAATACCTAACATGGAGATGGAGCTTACAAGCAAAACCCCCAAGGACAAAATGAGGTGATAAATTCTTAACCCCAAGCCTACCAGGACTACGTGAGGTCATTATGATTTGGGCCAGATATAAGTATTAAGGTCCATGCTACAACATGTTGCAATGGGCAGAAGTGAGCAAGTGCCAGCATAGCTGAGGCCACATCCTATCATCTTCTACCATAAAAGAATCATTAGGTGTTACACAACCAGAAAAAGAAAAAAGAGATTTCACAATCCTCCAACAATTCATGCCTAGAACATACAGAGCATTTTCCCCAATAACTATTTTGCCCAAGGGTGAGTTTCCAAAGCCCAATAATGAGGCTGAAAATGCATATAACCAAACAAAAAATTGTTGGACACTAAATTACACTCACAAAGGGAATCACATTAAGATTATGTATCTGGCCTCTTTCACTATGTAGTGCAGATAACGTGGAATTGGTACAAATCTAAACATTTGCAAATAAAGTTCTTTGAAAGTATATAACAGCCGTACTAATATGCATGTTTTCCAGGTCACACATGACCGCACCTTTTTAATGTAAACAGTGTGTGTGTGTGTGTGTGTGTGTGCGCGCACGCGCGCGAGAGAGAGAGAGAGAGAGAGAGAGAGAGAGAGAGAGACCATATTAGAAGGAAGATCAAGGTACAAAATGCTTTGATCGCTTGTGGCACCAATTACTCCAGGGCCAAACAATTTTTGCAGTAAATACCTCGTTAAAACCTACAAAACATCACATGCAATTTTGAATAACACACAGTTGTCTTTTCTAACATTACTTCTGAAGCTCAAGAATTATGATATTCATATAGATGCTTACACATCAGTGACCCTCCCTTAGTAGATGATAAAATTTTAAATTTGAAATCAGCCATAAATAAAATGTATATCTAAAAGGGGGGGAATTTGATACGTAAATTAAGGATGAACATGCACAAAACAAAATTCCATCCAATTCTTTGATTATAGCCAAAAACAAAAGCATAGGGTAATGATAACATTATTAAGCAACCCAACGCCCCTAAGGTTCCGGAATCCACTTTTATTATTACGGTCAGATTAAATATTAACCAAAAAAATTTTGACCTAAAAAAAATCATATTACCCCGAGAATTCCAAAAACAGCAAGATGGAGGAGGCATGAAGTGTAGTCCAATAGCCACGGTAACTCTTTCCTATTCTCCTGGATATAGAACATGTGACACATAACCAACATCACATATTTGGGCATAGAAGGAAAAAATTGTAAGAAACATTGAGAACCATAGACCAGTGTCTATAAGGGTAGTTCAGCACCAATTTCTATCAATACTATCAATAAACTAATAAACAGGAAAATACTGGATGAAAACTCACTTGCTGCTTGTCATCAGAATGTATGACTGCCTCTGTAGAAAGAGGAGATATAGTTTCCATTGTCGATGGAAATACAGGGGAGGCAACGGCTAATGCAGTGGGATCATGGGACCAAAACCCATGTGGCCGGAATAAAGCATCCTCAGGAATAGGCACAACACTACCAGTTTCAGTCACATTATCAACAGGCAATTGTTGCCTGCTACTTTCACTGTAACTATTGCTGCGAAGTGCCCGATCTCCAGTATCTCCAGCCTCTGAAACAGTCTCACTTTCAAGATCATCATCTTTTTGAGTGGATTCAGCATTTGTGAAACCAAAAGAACGCCTTCTCAAAGAAGAACCAGCACTGCCTGCCCGATTAAAAGATCGACGTCCAGAAACACCAAGCTCAAGATCCATGATTGTTGTACCCTCTTGCAATGACTTGACAAGAAAGTATAATGTTAATTCAACGAACAAGGTAAGATAAGCAATCATAACGATGCAGTGTCTTAAAACTAGCCATAAGTATTGTCAACCAATACACATGGTTGTCAAATCGTAAATCATAATGGCCTTGTATCAATTCTTGAATCAAATCGAATTGTGAATCGTAAAGATTCAGTCACTTTTTCTAAATTACTTAGAAAAATATATCTACACACTTGGATGTTAAATATATTTTATAAATAAAAAATATTTAGACTTAATCCAATGAAAATATTGTTTTGAATGATGATCACGTAGTCTAATAGGTAAGAAGTTAACATAGATTCCCATGTAAGATCACCGCATAACTTACCAACAATGTTGAAATTTCATAATCATAGATACATTTACAAGTAACAATGACCCAATAATAAGAAACACTTAATTGGAATTTTTTATTTTAAAACTAAAGCATTTTAAAAAGTATATATTCTTATTGTTCAAAAAAGTTTTTTTTTTAAAAAAAAAAAATTTTAAAAATAACTTGCAAACCCGTTAGATTTAATTGATTTCACCCATATAATATTGAAGTATATTTATTTCAATAAAATAACAATAGATAATTCATATTGCAAGTGATTTTAACCTTAAATATCTTAAGAAGATATGTTATGATTTTTTTAAGGAAAAAAATGAGAAGAAAATGTTAAAAACATGTTGGGTTAGGTCTTATTAAATCTTATTGGATCCTACTAAAAACTACATGATCTCTAATATAATAACAAATCATATATATTTATTATTTTCGTACTAAATACTATTAGAAATATTATGCCCTTTTAACTAAAAAAAGGAAGAACAAATAGATTCACTAGAGATTTACTTGCAAAATAGATTCACTTGAGATTTACTGGAGATGATAGTTTCAAAAAATGTATGAATCGTAAAAAGTGAATCGAACTATGAATCGTGCGATTCACTAGAGATTTACTTGCAAAATAGATTCACCAATAGATTCGTATCGATTTTGCAAAAATTACAAATTAAATAGCAAATCGTAAGTTTTGATAATAGAATGACAACTAACAGAACATATGCATAAGTAATGCCTGATTTTGATATCAAGAAGCCAATGTTGAAAATAATGTAAAAATACAGGAATATGAGTGTATTATATTATGAATGTTGGTTACATCTTAAAGTCTGCCACTAAATGACGTAAGCACAAATAAAGAAATAGTTATTATGGTGCATACAGTTCAATTTTTGAATACTCATAAGTCATACCTAACACTGCCCAGAAATTTTGAAGACTATGTTCACGTATAACTATAAAAGTAGAATTAAATTATAGATGCCATGCATGCACAGCTGTAGATTTAATGAAAAAACAATTGAGAGAAAAAGAACAAAAAAAGAAATCCTAGATGTAATTTAACTATATAAGATTACAATTGTTTCGCTGCAACTAATTTGTTGAGCCACAATAAGGTTTAAGATTTAGAAAAATGCTAGTAACAGCCCACTCATTAAATTTGTAGAAAGCATGCATCTTTCTACGCATTTGTATTTTGGAACCAAACACAATAGAATACAAAAAACACAATAATACAAATTCAATCAAAGGTTTCCCAAAAAGAATAGAAAAAAATAAATGCTCCCATATGCTTAAGTGATGTAAAAATAAATAATATAAAAGGTGTCGTTTAGTAATTTACTTTTATGTTACTGTTTTAAGAGATAATATGAAAGGCGTTGATTAGTAATTTGAATGGTGTTGGCACCTAAATAAATTTTCAACCAAGTCAGGCTATGAAACAAACTTTTACTTTCTCTAAGAGAAAGACAGAAAGAACGCGCATTTGAATTCGTTGAACTAATAAGGTTTGCAATTAGATAAGATGACAAAAAGCCCTTGTCTGCATTAGCAGAGATGGGGGAGCTAATGGGGCCACTGCCCATTCAAACATTACAAAATTTCAACTAATTACTGTGTATTTTGCTATTAAGTCCAATATTTATAAACAACTGGCCCTCCCAGCTCTTTTTTTTTTTTTTTGTGTGTCTTTTCTTCGAAGTTCCAATTTGAGTCTTTTTCTTCGAAGGTCCAATTTAGCATACAATACACGTGTGTATATATATATATATATAAATTATGGTTTAAATTGATATTAGATACAAACCCTTATGTTTATGGGGCTAGAAAATTATTAAATCAAAATTGGTCAAGTCCCAATATATTTTAATTGCAAATGCCTATTTAATATTGATTGAAAATTTTAGGGGAAATTACAAATAAGTAGAAGTTTATAATCTGTTTTTGGTACAAACCTAACTTACAGGAAATACTAGCATTAAAATGAGATTATTTTATCATTGTCCAACCGAAATATAATTTTTCAAAAAAAAAAAAAAAAAAAAAAAAAATTGATTTGCAAATTTAATAATACTGTTCAATTTTTACGCACGTACAAAACTTTAATTAATAAGAATATAACAAAAAAGAAACCATGTAAACAGTTTTTGATTGTATATAAGATATCTGTACTTTCTTTTCCAATATCAGATTATTTTTTCCAGTAAATTAATAAATCAAAAATCAACAAATAAATGAATTAACAGATAAAAAACTCAGAATCATAGCGCAAAAATAATCGCATCGCACAACCACAATTGACCCAGGAGAGAAAAAAGCATACAAAAAAATTGCAATTCAGCAGTAACTTTACCAATTTCAATTATAAACTTTTTTGTGAATTTGTAAATATTTTTATGAATAAACCACTAATTTACAATTTTCCCATATATATATATATATATATAGAGAGAGAGAGAGAGTACCATGAAAATATATACGATTGAATCCTGCAAATGCTGGCGAGGATTGAAAAGATCAGAAACCAAAGGCAACACTAAATATATGCATACATATGTTGGGAGGTTTTCGTGAGTATATATGATGCGTGTATGTATATACTCACGAAAAAAAAAGAAAGATAGAGTGAAGGAGGAGGAAAGAGGGTTTAGAACATGAGAAGAGCGAGAGAGGGGAGAGGCCGTGGTGGTGGTGGTGGTGGTGGTGGTTGTGTTGTGGTTAACAATGGAGATTCAGAAAAGGAAGGAGATGGATTAGATTTTGGGTGGGAGTTGTGTGAATCGCAATAGAAGTGGGTGCGTGTGCAATCGGCGTTGGGTGGACGAGGGTTTTTTTTGGATTTTTTATTTATTTGTCTGAGTGGATCGGATTGTGGTGCGCGGGGGGACTTGGGTGACGGTTGTGCTTCATTCTGTGGTGCATAAATTTATTTTTATAATCTGAACCGTTGGTGTTATAGGGTTTGTTCAGTATTTTATATTTATTAAAAATTATATTAATTGAATATTAAGTATTGATATTTGATTAATATAATTTTTGATAGGTATGAAGAATTCAACAAATCTTACAAATTAATGGTTCAGATCATAATTAATTGAATATTAAGTATTGATATTTGATTAATATAATTTTTGATAGGTATGAAGAACTCAACAAATCTTACAAAATTAACGGTTCAGATCATAAAAATAAGTACATAATGCACCTCAAAATGGGGCACAATAACAGTGACCCCAATTCCGGTGGGTATGGGGAGATATATTTTAGGAAATAGTATGGGTTGGTTTGAAATGATTTAAATAAATATATTTTTTAATTTTTTATGAAATACGAGTTGGGTATGAATTGGGTTTGGAATAATGTGTTAAAGAAGTGATGTGATTTAAATAGGATAGTGACTTTTTAACTTTTTTAGATCATGCTAAACAAGGCTTTAAAGTTAGGTCTATTTTTCTTGGTTTTATTGTTATGCAAATAAATTAGGGTTTGTTATCCCTTAAAAAAATAAAAATAAAAATAGTTAAAGGTTGTATCAAGCATTGATTAATAACTTGAATTTGAGTTTGTCTGAATCACTTGAATTTTCACTTGCTGATTGTCCCATCAAGAAAATGATAATCGTGGTCGACAAGTATTGCACCGGTCATCTAAGTGATCGTCTGGATGGTCAACCAGCAAGCACGAATTCGGACTTTCGGACAAACTCAAATCCAAGCTATCAATAATTTTTCTTTGAAAAAATTACAAATAAAATCTTAGAGTTTAATTATTGTAATAAAAAAAATATTTTTTATTTTATCAATTTAAATCTTAATATTTTTGTTTACTTTCAATATAAATAATTCATCTATTTTCATTAAATAAAAATTAACGAAAAAATATTTAGTCATTTAACATTAGGTATACATAAAATATTTAAAATATATTTTTTAATTAAATGACTATTTCTTTTTATTAAATTTACCTTATAAAAATAAGTAAATGATTTAAATTGAAAACAAATCAAACGATTGTAATTTAAATTGATAACATTACAAAAATTAAAATTTATTTTGTAACAAGGGTCAAATCTTGTTAAATATCAAATCAATTTTTTTATTCACAAAAAATAAGCTTTCTAATAATTTTTTAACCGCATTAATTAAAAATGTTACTAAAAATGTTAACCGCATTTAAAAAGCAAAAATTGCTCATGTAGCAGTAATATGGAATAAATTAGACTGAGTTTTTTTAAATTTAAAAAAAATACATCAAATTATAAAAATCAATAAATTCATTGATGTAGAATGCCGCATCTCGTTTTTATTCTCTTGAAAGTAGGACCTCAGCTTAATGTGAACATCTAATATAAGATTTTTGATGCCTCCTTGTCACATAGGTAATTCAAAAGATAAATATTACAAAGGAAATTATTAAATTCACTAGGTATGTTTGGTTTGAGTTTGAGAGATAAGTTTTAGAGATAAAAAGTACGAAAAGTTGTTTGGTTTGGTTTTTTTCAAAAGATGTTTTGGAAAATTATTTTGAGAGAGAGTTTTGGAAAAAGTGATTGATTTGATGTGTATGAGAGAGAGATTTGTTTAGAAAACTTATAAACCAAACAAGTTTTGAGAAATTTTTTTGGGAAAATTTGTTTGGTTTGAGTACTTTTAAAAATTTATTTGTAGAGAATTTTTCTCAAAAATTTTTGAAAAACACGAACCAAACAAGATCTTTAAACTATATTCACATTTTTCCCCAGCTACTCCAAGAGTGAAATGTGAATATAATCATAAAAAATGTTAAATTTAGTCATTTTCACAATATTATGTAAATTGCTCAGTTTCACAGAAGAAAAAAAAAATCAATAATTTCTCATAGAATCTACAAATAAGTGAGAAGTGGAACAAATAATTACAAAAAAATATGAAAATCTAATGAAACTTTTATTATTATTATTTTTTTTTGTACACAAAAGACTTTATTCTTTTATTTATTTATTTATACCAAGATTGTATAGAATGTTAATTTATTAATAAAATTATATTACAATTAAAGAGTTTGACACCGTTCTATCAATTTAAACTCCTGACTTTTCTCTCACCACAAACTTTTATTATTTTTTTTTACATACAAAACTTATCCACTCCATATATTTATAATTAATTTTGATCAAATATCTTCATATCAAAGTTGGAATATGAGTAGTCCACTAACAATGGGGGAAGAAAAATCAAAACCAAACACCACTAACTAGTCTAGTCCAATTTGATTCGTCGACAAATCAAAACTAAACACCACTGACTGGTCCAATATAATCAGTTGTTAAGCAAATTTCTTTTTGGTTGGCTTTTCAGATTGAGATCTCAATATAAAAGAATTTGAATAACTTATAGAACTCACCAAAAATCTTGTTTCATTGATTTGAACCGTTCTTTTTTAAGGAGACGTGTAATAGAATACTCTTACAGAAAATCAAAATCATCAAATATTAGTAATTATCTATTTGAATCAAATTTGTATTACAAAAAATGAGTAGTTATTCTTAAAATTATATTTGTTATCTATTTTTTTAAAATAAATATGATTCAAGCATATAACTATTGATATCTAATCATTTTATTTTTTGTATGAATATTCTACTTAACGAGTACAAAAAATAAATAAATAAATAAACAATTCAAATCACGAAAATTAGTAATAGGCATGCCACACGCAAACACTCTTCCAAATGGAGATACCAACTTGAGAAAAATCAAATTCATTTCTTCAATACCTTCATATTAGAACATGAATCACTAACAATGGCGGTGAAAAATCAAAACTAAACACCACTAACTAGTGAATTTAAAATCATATCTCCTATTATGCCTCCGTTTGGAAAGTGGGTTGGCTTTTTAGTTTTTTGATTTTTTGAGTATTTTAGTCTGGGCTTAAAAGCTTGGTTTTGGAATGGCTTTTTGGCTTTTTGGCTTTTTTGAGTTTTTTTGTGAGAAAAGAATGTAATGATTATGGGTTGAATGTGATGTTTTGTTTGTTATGGCTAAAATAGCCTATTTTATTTTTTGTGGCTAAAATAGCCAAAAAAGCCTGCAAACCCACTTGCGAAACACAGGCATAATATAAAATCATATAAGAGAATTAAAATTTGCTTTAATTCAATAAATTACGATTTAGAGAGACACAGAAAGAGAGAGAACGCATATGAACAAGTTGAATTAGGTTGTTTTGGGGTGTTTAAAAAAAGTCAAAAAGTCAAAAAATTATTACAAAAGTCAAAAAATTATCACTATTTAAAATATATATATATATATATATAAAATTTTCCAAAAAAGGTACAAGCCAACATCATGGCTGAATGTGATACAGTGGTCTGAAGTGATGGTGAGTTTGAAAAGAGGGTGCACACAAAAATTACACAACACGGTGTTGTTCGGCCCGTAGGGGCCCATTACAGGTTCTTTTTTGATAATCTGAACCGTCCAATGTGTAGAACTCGTTGAATACTATTTGTTTCTTAAAAATCACGTTAATCGGATATCGATAACTATATAATCAAATCAGTTTTATATAAAAAATAGACGGCGCACAAAGTAACGATTGACAAAAAAAACTAATCCGATCAGATAGCTATCGATATCCGATCAACGTGATTTTCTTCAAACATATAGTACTCGATGAGTTCTACACATTGAACGGTTCTGATTATCAAAACGAGACCCGTGGTGGACCCCTACGTGTCCCACAGTACCGTCCTGTGTAAACAGTACCGTAGGCAAGTTTTTCTTATATCTCTTGCTGCCACCGTACCGTCTTCATGTAGCATCATTGGTGGTGTTTGGGAACTTGGTTCCCAAATTATTTTCTCATTTTTTTCACTAAAAGACAAAGGTTTTGCAAAATAAAAAAAAACAAATCGAAACAAAATATCACATCCAACCCCATAATCATTTCACTTTTTTTCTCACAAACATCACATCCAATCACAAAAAAATCCAACTATCTTCCCAAACACTAAAAATTTTTTATCAAATAATATCCTACAACTAAAAAAACCTATATAAAAATCCACTTCCTAAACACCCACACTGTCAATACATATTTATATATGTAGGGGTAAAAACGTAATTCTGTTATTTTATACAATATTTTAATACACATTTTTTTAGTAAAAAGATAAAAAAATTATCCCAAACAATCTTTTTTTTCTCTACTTTTTAGTCCATAAAGTCAAAAAGTACACTTATTTAAGACACCCTAAACAATCCCTTAGATGGAAAGCTATTACATTGCATCAAAAGCCTCTTGGTCTACTTTGACAATACGATTAAAAATTAATATTTTTATTTTTATTTTTTTGAGTCATATTATCTTACACACCAATTAGTGTAATAACAGATGATTTCAAATAATTTTATTAATTTTTAAGTCTTTGTAGTTTTTATAATGGGTGGAGTCCATAATTTTGAAGTTACAACATTATAATATATATTAGTACATTAATTAGTATATAATAATTGGTATGTGTAATATTATTATTTTTCAAAAAAAAAAAAAAAAACCTAAAATGTCAATTTTTAACTTACTTCACAAAATATGCGGTACATTTCATAATCATATTAGTAATGATAGAGACCCCAACAAAATACAGCCCTCACAACCCTCAAAATGATTTTAACCATTTATGTCACTGTCAAACACAATCCCTAAGAAAAATTCAAATATATCAATAATCAATACATTAGTGGGGTCATGAAGGTCCTCCTTCGTGGGGTCTCAAACATTTTCCATAATCATATTTTCAAAGGGTCTGGCTTTGGTCCAGTCCACCATCGGACTAAACGGTGCTGTTGGGCCTGTGGGGGCCCATTACGGGTTCCTTTTTGAAAATCTGAACCGTAAATGTGTAGAACTCTTCGAATACTAT